TCCAGAGGGCAGGTTGGTGGTTCTGAAATGTGGATGAAGGAAGCTGGATTAAACTGGACCTTGTGGATATGGAGTTGGGTCGGATGGAGAGGAGGGGAGGGCAGTATTAAAAAGGTGGAGAGGGGGGCTGGAATACTTGAGCATGACGCAAGCTGGCAGATCCTGTTTGATGTTTATTTATAGGTTCTTGGTGCTTCGAATAATCAGATAAAATGTCTGTCCCTTTTAAGCACCATTTTGAAGCATGATAAGGTGTTCTATGAGTAATTGCTCCTGTTGATCCCAGCAGGATAAAATCTCTCTGAGCATTCAGGTTCCTTTGACTAGATTTTGAAAACATGCTGAGAGAAGCTGAAGGAGTCCCAGCACAGTTTTGGCCGTTCTTTCACGATATTTTCTGACCAGCTTAGTTCCTAGCTCCGTGACCTTGAACAGTTTATTCAGTGGCTCTGTAATTCAGTTTCTCCATCTCTGCATGAAGAAAATTAGATTGTTGTAAGGATTGAATGAGTTAATCCCCTAAAGCGGTGCCTGGCACATAATGTGAGCTGTAATTACTATTACAAAAATAGCACATTTTCATTTAAAAAAATCTAAAACATATAGACGAAAATATAGAAGTCATGTATAATTCCACTACCCTCTGTCAGTCACTCTTAATCTTCATCTTTCCAGTCTTTTTCCCGTATGTGTATATTTTACTCTGAATGCTCTTTTGTACTTTGTTTTTTAAGATTTAACCTGTTTTGTCACAGACATCTACCCAGGTCATTAAACAGTGTTTACAACTTATTTTAATGCCTTTATAGTCATTCATCAGTTATAAAATTTTAAATCATTGGCATTGCTTCAGTTACTCTTATCTGAGACTGCAAATGATTGTTGCTGTGCTGGTAATTATAACAACTGAGAAAGAAGGGAGGGAGAAAAATGAAAAATGTCAGTAGGGGGGCAGAGTGTATTTACTTCTTAAATTTTGAAAGGCAAACATGTACCAAAGGATGTACTCCATAAAGACTTCCTGTTTCCTGAAGTTGAAGCTATATGATTTACATCTATTTTGCTTTCACTCAGAAATATAGCTCTTTTTTTAATTAAGGAAGATATCAGATTGACAGAAATAGTTAAAATAATTATAATTAAATTCTAAATATATTATTATGTATTTGTGTATAATGAATGTATAATATATAAATAAATTATATAAATATATAATGTATAAATATAAATTATAATTAAAACATAGTGTTTTCATGAGTGTGGGGGATGAGCATTTTGAGATATTGCTATTCTACACATCTTTCTGCAGAGATGTTAAAAAATGGAAAAAATAAATATATTCTTTAATAGTGGAATGATAAAATTATGGTGAATCCACACAAATAAATTTGATGCAGCCATTAGAAAACTATAAAGTACGTGGCTATTTATTGACATGGAAAGGTATTTCACAATGTATTAAGTGGGGGGAAAAGCAATAATTGAACAGTACTATAGCATCTTTTAAAAATATGTTTATTACTTATATATGTAGACTGGGATAAACTTTAGAAGGATGTGTTCCAAAATTTCTGGGTGGTGATAGTCCAAATGATTTTTTTCTTTAATTTTTGCTATTGTGCATTTTATGGGTCTTTTCCTACATGGAAGTATTAAATTGGATATGTTTTAAAAATGGAAAGGGAATAGCTTTTACAGTCAAGACAGGAGGTTCATTTTGGGGACATTTCCGGCCGTATCCCATCGCTAGAGTAGAGTGGAGATCATTCACATTGGACTCCTTCACTCAGTGTGGGAGGCATTATAGAAATAGTTAGCATTTAGGCAGGTAAATATTAAATGAACAGATAGACAGTAATTGCAAGGGCTGAAACCTGTGCCTCTGTCAGATGGGAACCTACATAAAAAACTGAAAGTGATGGTTTGATAAATACAAGAAAAATGTTAACCTGAGACAGGAGTGTTTTTTCCTAAGCAGCAGGTGCAAAGCAGATGACTAAAGGGAAGAGACTGGAGAGGAGAGGGAGGGCAGAATGACCCTGAGGTGAGGGAGGACAACCTGCTGGCGTAGACAGGGAGATTTGATCTGCCACCCTCTGCAAGAGCTACTCTGACACCTGAGAAGGAAGGTGACATGGAGATTTCACAAGGGTTGGACAGGTGTGCGAAAACTAGCAAAAGTCTTCTTATTCAGGGCACACAAACCTTTTTGGTCTTTTACATTTCTCTGAAAATCAGCTGGAAAAAAGTAGCAAAAGAGAATGAAAAAAAGAATGGCTTTCTAAATACAGGTAATCAGAGAAGATTTTTTTTTCCTAATGATTTAAATATTTGGAATCAGATAAAAAATAGCTGTTTTTCTCCCCTCTTTCTGGCCACTTGGAGAGCGTCTGTGATAACTTCTGTGGGACTTTTGCCACACTTCCTCATCTCAGGATTCCAGTAAAATTCATCTCCCGCAGGTTACCATGACTATCTGGTAACTGAGTCTCCTGGTTTTTCCTCGGTGTTTCCCCTGCTCAGCTTCTCCCACCTCCTCGTTGTGGTTAAAACTTTCTCCTTGTCTATCATCTATTTTCAGTGGTTTGGTGTTTGTTTTGCTCTCTTTTTTCCTGCTCCCCCAGTTAATCCTGCACAGTTGATTTTCCCAATCGCCACTCTCAATACCTAGACATAGAGTCCAAACACTGCAGCCCTGGTATTCCAGATCGCACCCTGTGTTTCTAGACTTGCCTTCCACTTCCGCCGTCCAGCATGCTGCTCTTCTCTGGTCCATTCCCTGTCCCCAGACAAGCTCTGCCATTCCCTAGTTCCATTCATTCATTCCACCAGAAGTTAAAGGCCTGCCATGAACAGGGCATGACACTCAGCCCTCAGGGGAATACAGACCTGCACAGCACATGAAGGTCATGTTGCCTGGAGGAATTATGGGCCAAAAGTTCAAAAAGCAGTAGTGCAAACCCTGTGGTGACTGCTTTCAAGTTGTGACCTTATGCAAATTACTTAACCTCTTGGTTCCTCAATTTTCTTATCTGTATTTGGACATAACTCACCTCTTACTGAGGTTCATTTACTATAATGATTAAATGCTATAAAGTGCCTAGCCGACTGCTAGGCAAATATTAAGTACTCAAAAATTGGTAGTTCCCTTCCTAAGCTCGCCTCAGTTCTCAAAGAATTTATAATTTTCTAGAATATAATGATGGTATAAGTGACATGAGTAGTGTAAACAAGAATACTGGGAGTTCAGAGAAGACAGTGCAGAAAAGTGACTGGGCTGATCTTAAAAGATAGAATGTGGCGAAAGAGAATAAGTAATGTAACTAAAGGTATAAACATGGGAAAAGACCAGGAAGGGAAAGCCCTCACCAACTTTAGATCTTTATTGAAAGTCCCCATCTTGGTGGAGCCTTCCTTGCCACAGTACTTAAAATTACATCTCACTGCATTCCCATCCCTTCCTATGCCCGTACCCTGCCCTGTTTTCTCATTTTACTCACCACCATATCAGGTATTTATTTATCTTGTCTGTTGTTTATGTCCTCAAAAGAATGTAAACTCCGCAAGGGCAAGGGCATGCGTGTATTTTCTTTACTGCTGTATTCCTACTACCTAGTGGAGTGTGCACCAGTGAGTATGTTCAACTCTCTGACTTGGGGTCATAGGATGTGAAAGTGCAGGAAGTTCTGGCAGATGGAGCTAGAAAATCAGGTTGGAAATCTTGAAAGCCTCTAAATAGCAGATTTTTAATTTACAGAGTAGAGACTCATATATCATCTAAGTTTTGTTAACGGGAAAGGTATGTTATAGGAAAATTAATCTGACATAGTTGAAGTCCAATAGATGTCCAAGGGAAGACAAGATAAGAATCTATTGTGGTAGTCTGGGAACTAGGTGAAGAAAGCCTACACTAGGTGTTAGTTATAGAAATAAATAAGAAAGGACGGCAAACATTCCAGCAGAGTTACCTAAACATGACTGTTTCAACATCAATAAAAGGCTGGAAAAACATATTATAGTCACAGAAAGGAACACTAGGCAGCCATCCAAGAGACTTAAGTAAATGTATATATTCTAAATGTATTGACAGGCACTCACTGCAAAGAGTACATATAGTGCGATTCCATTGTATAAATATGTACACAAATATATATGTTAATATGTTAAATTTATCTGAAAATACACACCAGACTAACTTGTGCAAAATGGCATTAGGGAAGATACCCACTGGTGTTTACTATTATATTGCACAATTCTGTGCTATTTGGTTACTTTTCTATAAGCATTTATTATTTTATATTAAAATATTTTTAAATAGATAATTTAAATAGCTAGAGTTAAATATGTTTCATCAAAGAAGTATCAAGAATATACTTCCAACCGTCACAGTCATTGTAAATGTCACCTAAAATATCTTGTCATGAAATGCATAAGCATTAAAATGTGAGTACAGTTTTCTATTTTGACTAAAAATGTGATAAGTTGACAGTTAATTCAAAAGCAGTAATGAGGCAAATGCATTCGGGAGGGCGTGACCCAAAGACAGAGACCCTCTTATTCAAGAAGGAAGCCACTGCCGTGTTCTAATTTATCAAAGAGTCAGGCAGCACCTCCTAATTAATGAGTAACGAAGACATTAATAATCCACGCTGTGTAGTCTCCTGGGGAAGGGTTAAAGTTTAAAACTATGCATGTTTTACACGCACACACATTTATTTCATAGTTTATCAACCGTTTAAAAGTATGATTGTGATGGCCAAAGTGATAAAAATGAAACTGCGTCTGGCATTAAAAACATATTGGTTTGAAGAAAGCTTTTCATAGTAGTTTTTTTTAAAAAACGATTTTCTGAAAAAACAGTCCAAGTAAAAATGTTTTGAACCATTCACTATTTCAAAATAAGATTTTGTATGTTATTGTTTAAAAATAAAGAACATCATTCTGTGAAGCAATTGTGGATACTACTTACATCTTAACTTTATTATTATTTTCTAACTCAGGTGCCAGTTCAACAGATTCTGACAGTGAAAGTTTAGCTTTCAAATCAAAACCTGGAGCTATGCCACAGTAAGTGCCTATGATTCCATCAATTTAGCAAAGAATGTCAACAGAATTGTTGGAGTATGAAGCCATGAGTGTTGAGCATTAAAGAAAAAGGTCAACTAATGTCAATCAAAGATCAAATACTTGAACTTGGAACACAGTTTTTAACTTATGAATTTGAACTTTGAAGTCTAATATATACAATGTTAGTTTCAAAGACAACTAACAGGTTATAAATGTCTTAAAAGAACAGAAGTGTTCTGAGAAAATTAGTTAAATCATTACTGAAATGTAAATGGGGACCAATTTCTACATACAAATTGGAAAATATCTAATTAGGCCAGAAATGGGTTTCCATTTGGATAAAGTCTATTTCCAGTTAGATTTCGTCATGAAAATCTTAAAATTTAGTTCTTACTACAAATCCGTAAAAACCCATATGGATTATTAGTAAAATATTACAATCTTAATTATTTTGCAAGAATAAAATCTACCAGAATTTTGTAGAAAACTCCATGAATATTGAGAATGTGCTAATAAAGTCCTTTGATCTGCTAGTGTATACATAACAATTATATCCATTCAGCATCAAATAATCACCAAATGTTAATACTAAAGGGACCTTAACCAAATCATATACGTACTCTGTCACCAGTTATTTCAGATAAGGATCTCCAGTTTAGTGAAGTTACATGACTCTCTTGCAATTACACAGCCAGCAACTTAGCAAAACTGGGCCTAGAAACCAGGTCTTCTTATGCTTTCTCTAAGCCTCACTAACTTTTGTGCACTAAGAAAAGAAAAAAAATTCCAAGACACTCTCAACTTAACCAAATTAGAAACCAGAACAAAGAACAGCTGCTCGACTTAAAATAGACAACCAAAACTTTGAATTAAATATAGAACCCTAACCCTAAAGATTTCAAATATCTGCTTACTGCTAGAGATTGGACTTTTTCCAGGTATTTTCTTTCCTCTCAGAATTTTCAAGTTCAATACTTTCGGTTCTCTGATAATTGCTGAGTTACAGACAGCTACTTTTCTATTACCCATGTGTTTATTTGCTGACGTCTATAAGCTCCATTCTCTGCATATACTGACTACAGCTATTCTAACTGTGCATCCTGGGTTCCCATTTCTGAAACACCTACAGTTGGAGTGGATTGAGTATACAAAAAGAAACTAGGCTATTCTGTGGAAATGTTTCAAAGAATAATTCCTGCTTCAAAAAAATTCTGACTGAACTATTGGCTCCCTATTTTCCAGAGCTCAAAAGAAAACAACTTCCGTTTCCTTGACGATAGGAGCATCATCTCCGAAGACAGGAGTGACCACAGCTGTGATTCAACCATTATCTATCCCTGTTCAACAGGTAAGTGTGCCTGGGACGAGAGCCCAGAAGGAGTCAAACTCCTTAGCAAATTTCTCAGTTTAAAGACTATAGCTTTGATTCTAACTAGTACACTCCCTTGAAATATTTTCTAAGTGAAAACACAACTAGAAGAAAAGAAAATGGTGGGTAAAGTTCTTTCTTTTAATCCATTAAAAATAATCTTTAATGAAAGCCATACCACCGATGAGTCAACGTCTGTGTTTCCATTGGGAACTTCTCTAACAGCGAATAATCTGATAAAATGGTATCTGTTTTAGCTGTGACCATTTCATTATTCCCCCACATGTGTGCCCTCTTCCATTTAGCCAAATTCATTAGCTCATTTAAAACAAATTAGAAGACAAGAAAAGTCCACATACCGATAAAATTTTTCCCCATCCTCTAAGAGCTGAACAGATAATAAGAAAAAAACAATTAAAATACCTTGACTTCACCGTGCATTTTCATCCTGTTTTTCTTTCATTGTAAGACTGCTTTATCCAAGGAAGAACAACACTACAAACTACGGGAAAGTAATTGTAGTGAGTTTACTTTGTAGACACAAACATGAAGTTTAAAAAAAAAAAGTGAAAAATATTAAAATCTAAATGTCTCTAGATCTAACATATGTAACTTTGCGTTTGTGCTATGATGAGTATCTTTAAATACAACACTCCCAGAAGGCTGCCCCCCACTCTTGATATGTAACCTCATTTCTAATTTATAAGTCTGTTTAATGAGCTTCATCATGCCCTCCAGCAGCCTTTCCTGTAATCCGTTGAGCACTCATAGGTGTTTTAGTAATTATAGTGTGTGACGTATACTCTGTGATGTGTGGAATATGCAAACAGTAGAGGAAAGACATTTTAGTTCATAAAACTTTTCAAGTTTCAAGTGTTGAACCAGTACAAGTTCCTTGGAGATGGCATAGATAGTGGATATTTCCTTTAAACCCCTAGGGTAGAATTTATAGAAATATTCCTGATTACATCAGTGGATTTTTTTGGTGTTTGATATTTAAGTATTGATAGGTATTTAATGAATGCAAAGCACTGTGCTAAGCATTTCATGGCAGAAAAAAAAAATGTCCCCAGCTCCATTCCCAAACAGTTTATACACTGTACACAGGAAACAGGAAATAGACGAGTGAAACACTTGTTGAATATGATGGAATACATTAAGGTGTAACATAGAAGGCTGACAGCAGAAAGACACATGCATCTCATGTGCAAACACCATACTAATGTAAACAGTACATTCTTAAATGGTTTAAATTCTATAGGAACACTGAATGGAAGGTTATGTATCCGCTTTTATAGTTGGGAGAAGGAAGTGCTCAGAGAAACTCCATTGCTTTATTTTTATTAGCAATGTGACATAAAGGTTAATGCCCTGGAGCCAGACTGCCTGAGTTTGAATCCCAGCTTAGCGTTACTAACTAAGGGACCTCGAGCAAGTGATGTAACTTCTCTGTGTCTGGTTTTTTCATCTGTAAAATGAAGATAACAATACCATCTGTCTCACAGGATTGTCATGAGGACTCAGTGTGTTAATCTTCCTTTGACACTTGGAACAGTGGCTGGCACAGAGTAAATACTATATAGGAGAACATATATTCTTTTGACATAGAAAGACAGAGAAAAGTGAGACCAAGCCTTCTTATTCGCAAGCCCGTAAAAAGTCTTACAGAGATAACGAGGAAGGCCTGTACAACTCTGCCAGCGTTCTCTATGACGTCCTGTGGCGTATTTAGACACGTAATATCAGATCACCATCATCTTGGGTTAAGAAGCTAACACTTGCTTATATAGAATTGAGTAAACCCAGAGCGTTTGAAAATAAATGATTGTACACAAGGAAATATTTTCCATTCACTGCTTTAAAATTTTTATATTTCCCCAGAGATGAGTGCCATTCAGTAAGTGTTTTAGCACCTTTGCTTTTTTGCACAAGAAAAAAATAATCTGTCCCTTTTTTCCACATTTCCCATAATCCCTATATCAAAAAGAGGAAAAGTTAAAAATAAGATAGGGAGATGTTGGATAATTTACTTTACCCTCCACTGCCAGTTACTTGTGCCTTTTATTCAGTGAATCCAGACTATATTTAAAAATAAAATATAATGTCTGTGAGAGCTTTTAAAAAGACCCCTCTGGAAGTCCCACACACAGAAATCCATTTGGAAATAGCATTTAAAAGCTCATGGATCCCTAAGGAGTCAGGGAACTTTTACCTTGAATATCTTTTTGAATAGAGAAGAGTAACAGATGTGAGATGAAGTCGTTGAACAATGTCTGTGCTGTAAGACTAGACGAGCAGAGTGATATATGGCGATGCTCTCATTCACTCGTTCCATTCATGTGGAGTGATCCCAATAATGAAAAGCTCCTAAAGCCCGTCTTTTCAGCAATTTATATATGTAGAATTTGATCCATGTGTCTTTGCTTTTTCAGGTTCACAGTCCAACTTCGTATCTCTGCCGACCTGATGGAACCCCTTCTGCCTACTTTCCTCCTGTTTTTACAAAGGTCTGACATCTGCAAGTCTCATTCTCTGTGTTTACTTTGGTCCCTAAATTCCATTCACATGTGGCTTTGTGTAGCAGTCTTAAAAATGAATGTATCAGCAGTCTGATTATCATGGTTATCTTTGGGGCTAAATAGATATTTATTGAGCAACTGCCGTGTGACTATAATCTTGTGAAGGGTCTGAGAAGTGTGGGTGTGGTCATTGACCTGAGAGAGCTTAAAATAGAGTGGGAAAGCCAAGACAGGTAGAAAAAATAAGACAAAATGCTGTGGAGGAAATTGCTTGGGAAAACCAGCAAGTTTTATAGACATTCAAAAAAACATTGAATAATTTTCAGTTTGTTCTAAGTTGCTGTTTTACATGGCCAAGCTGAATGACACCTATTTCATTGGTCAAAGGCACAACTCAGAAATGGTTCCACTTAGCATTTCTTCTCCTTTTCCCCTGCTTTAGTTTTTGAGAAAGTTATCAAACTCTGTTGAATGACATTTAAAAAGGCACAAATAAATGGAGAGAGAGAGCATGCCTGTGGACTGACAGACTGTAAAGAAGTAGTGACTCCCAGATTAATCTAGAAATTTAATGCAAATTTAGCTAAAATTCCAACAGGTTCCCTGTATTTGTTTATTTGTTTGATATAGAACTTGGCAATTTGATTCTAAAAGTTGCATGGAAGGAAAAATGGCCAAGAAGAAGCAGGGCCCTCCTGAAGAAGAAAAGCAAGGTGGTGTTAGGGAAGGCATGGGATTGTCCTCTGAGATATCAAGGTTTAGTAATTGGGTAGTATGGTACTGGCACAAGGCTAGACAAATTGGTGAGTAATCAGAATAGTGTCCCAAAAGACACTCCAATAACTATAGAAACCTTCAGGTCACTGGGTAAAGAGTGAATTCTTCAGCAGAGGTGAAAAAATATTAAGCTGAACTCCTGCCTCATGCTTTTCACAAAAATCAGTTCCAAGTAAACTAAAGACAAATGTGAAAAGCAAATCTATAAAACTTATGTGGAGCAGTAGAGAAAAGCATCTTGTGTGCCCTCATGTAGGGAATGATTTTTTTCTCCTAAGCCAGCCTGTTTCCAACTTTATTCAAGATCTTTCACAGAGTATTGACTGTAGGACACGGGCAACAGATGATAATAGTTGACAGCAACTTTGAAAGTCCCCTCCTGGATAGACTACTGAAAAAAGAAAAAGTCATGGAAAAACTTACCCGAAACAATGTCACTGTAGTAGCCAAGGAAGTCATCTTTTGACGCTTAGAACAGGAAATGTTAACAGAGATTGGACACTTCAAATTTATGTGTAGTTGTAGAGCTTTTCTTGAGTAGCTTTGCGAGATCATCACCAGAAAGCCTGTTACCTAATGTATTATTGCCTGAGACCCAGTTGATTTTGGGGGTGCTAGGGCCCAGCATGCCCCTTGGTTTTAGCAAATAAAGTCCGTGCTGGTGGCATCAGGAAGGAAAAGAGGAGGTGAAATTTTGCTTTTCCTCCCAAAGGGCTTCACTGCAGTGGTCTAGCAGGTGGAAGTGTTAGGGAATTTCTCCTGGGCACCAAGAGAAATCCTCAAAAACTAGACACAAAACCCATTGCAATCCAGCTCTTGAGACACTGACATTCTCTTAGTCATATTTCCCCTTCCCCAAAAGAAAACTATGAAGTGTTCTGTGTGCCAACCACACAGCTTGATAAAAAGAAAAGTAAAACAAAACTCTACGTTTCTATAAAGATTGATTTAAAAAAATCTCCAACTGTAGAGTGATTGGAAGCACAGAGCACGCCTCACCAGACATCTCCATCACCTTCCACTCTCTGTGTCTGGACTGTGGAGCATCTTTGTTTTCTGCAGAGTTGTTTCCTTCCTTGCCTGCGGTCGCTTTCCCCTTTTTCCCTTTGGGCTGCTTCTCTCCCTCCTTTTCAGCATCCTTTTTGGTCCTGGGCTCTGGTTTTGGAGAAGCAGGTTTAGAACGTAAATCTGCCAATCTCCTCTCTAACGCTTTGTCACCCTTAGCATCTTCTTTGGCTGTTGTCTTGGTCATGATGATGATGACAGTGGATGGCAGGTGGATTTTGCCAGTCTAAGAGGTGCCTTCATCTGTTTCCTCGAGCTACCCTGGAGAAGATTTCCAGGTTTCACAGCTGGTCAGAGGCAGAGCCAGCACTTCTGCCTTTGAGCCCCTGGGCTTAGCTGGGGCAGTGGAGCTGGTATGAACTGTGGGAAACATCTGAGGCCAGAACAACTAGCCTCATGTGGCATTTCCTCCCAAATAGTTAGACTCCTCCAAGGAATCACGGTATCAAGTGGACTTGATATATGGCAAAAGATGCCCTTATATGGACCCTAAAATACCCAGGGGTCCCAAATTCCACCCTGAGTGGGTGATCCAGATTGCCAGTGCAGCCTCTGAAGGGTAGCTTTTAGTCTCTTTCAGGGCTCCCCGTTATGTTCCTGTAGGTTCTCTGAATGGCTGTGTTGAGCTGTGGCTTTTGCCAAAATAAAAAAGTTTGCTCCAGAAAGAGCCAAATTGTAATCCTAGAATAACTATGGAGTTTTGACTGCTTAGGGTCCTTGGCATCTACCCATTACCTGCATCTCTAACTTTCCAATGTTTGAACAAAATGCATAATCCTGGGAATAAATCAGAGTCTTCTTTGGTGCCTGAAAACTCAAAACATGAAAAATATTTGTGTACCATTTGTAATCTATCATGAATGGTTCCCTAGGCAAGCTTGGAAGTATTTAATAATCTGCGCAAGCCGGACCCCCTGAGTGACACTTTTCCTGCTATGATCCATTAAATTACTTCCCTGGACCCAGTGACAAAGTAAAAAAGTCCATTTAAAACCAGAGATTTCCTACATTTAAAAATAAGGGAGGAGAAACACTGCGATCAGAAGTAGTTAATAATCTTGGCCTTTTCACTTAAAAAAAAAAAATTCTTGTTAACTCTGAAAATTCTTATCAAATCTTTCTCAGACTTCATGTTGGACTTTTCTAGCTCTTCTGCCACCGTCATCAACTTTTAGAATTCCCATAGATCTTTAGCATACTGACCACAGGCCATTTGCAACAGGTTTTGCTTTTCTCAGGACGCTATTTGTCATCTCTTCAGATGACCTTAAAAAACAAAAACAAAACCAAAAAAACACTTCTTAATGTGAATTTGTTTGCTTTTGGTTGATGTGTAGGTAAATTATTTTATCATATTTGAATTATTTTAAGAGTTCTCCATGCCCTATATAAGACCTAATACCCTATAGTCAGAAGTTTAAAGAGTCAAAAAGTTTAAGTTGGCCCCATTGCTAAGTAATCCTGGAGGAGGAAAGTAGAGAGAGGACATATGTAAGGGAACTATTAATCTTTTGATATTTAATAACAAGTATAAAAGCTTCACCTCTTTGCATCTATGAAGCCAAGTTAATTTCTACTCTGTTGGATTGTAAAAGTTTATTGGTCTGGAGTTGAATGGGCTGGGGGTCCGCATGGGTAATAGCAAGGGAGGGGGAAATGGAGATCAAGAAGGGAGAAGTCCTGTGTGTTTTATTATTTTACTCAGAACCTCAAAATTAGAAAATACCAAAACCGCTTATCTTCATAAACCTGACATAGGAAACGAGTTGGGCAGAGGTAGTGGGGAAGTACATGAAAAGGTTAGAGCACGTGAAAACAAATGTATGTCTTTTTTCTCTTCCTGTCTGGTTTTCATAGGAATCTACATTCATCTGGAGTGTAATTGTTTTAAGAAGTTTGCATTCCACTAGCTTACTCTTAAATGTAAAGAAAGGTAACCATTGTTACCATGAAATTCCATAAATATGAAGGAGTCAGTAAATTTGCAGACAGGCTAAAAATTTCTGCAGGGCTTACTGTAAACCTTACTAATTTCATTGCATGGAGATTATGAAAAGCTGGTGATCAATGAGGTTAAAGGTGTTTACCCTTGCCAGAGTTGGTGGTAATTATTTTATGTTGCAAGTTTTGTGTGTTTTCTCTAGGGTGTGGAAGTTTATTCTGTGTTGTGAAATTGTTTAAGAATGTGCTGAAGTCTGATGAGGAGTGTTTTCCTTGAATTTCAGGAACTACAAAACATAGCCGCATCAGAGGGCCAGGTGGTGGTTCTGGAGTGCCGGGTCCGAGGAGCGCCCCCTTTGCAGGTCAAGTGGTTCCGACAAGGGAGTGAAATCCAGGACTCTCCAGATTTCAGAATTCTACAGAAAAGTAAGGAGAGGTGCCCATTCTCCCAAATCCCACCATTTTCTTCTCTCAAGCTGTATAAAAACCAAGAAGGGTTTAGTCATTCAGATGAGTTGATTTCTATTTTCAACCAATCAAAGAGTGATGAGACGAGATAACGTGCACATGTGTGGGGTCCAGTAAATTAAAGCTGTGGTGTCGCTTGTGGACCCCTTTGAAACTCTGATGAAAGGTATATATTCTTTCTTCAGAAAAAATGGACATATATGTTTGAATTCAAAGTTGGGCGTGTAATTTTAGGAGTTTTACAAGCCTCCTAAAAGCCCATCTATGAACCGTAGTTTAAAAACCTTCCTCGTGTAAGCTGTTCCTGGAATTCCAGTGTCTGTATTTATAGAAATAGAGATGGACTGCTATCACTTTCTCTCTTTGTATTATGGAGTTTGTCTGTAAGATTTCTGCAGACGTGTCCTAGACAAGGTAAGAGGAAAGGCTAGATAAGATTTATTATTAATGGAACCCCATTCTAATACTCTGTTTTGATTTATTTATTTTTTTTCATGTGGCAAACAGAACCTAGATCTACAGCTGAACCTGGTAAGAAGCTTTTTCTTTTTTTCCTTTGGTAATGTATCTTTTGGGTTTCAATAGCTCTTTGTTTCTGTTTTAAAACCACAAGCAGAACAATGTTTTTGCAGTTCCCTGGAAATGTGAAACCCCCTTAAAGACAATATCTTCTTTATCATGGGGTCTGTACACTGCATTTTACATCCACTTCTTTATTAGTAAAACATTAGGTTCCATTCAGACAAGAGGGTCAAGCTCAGTGACTTAAGGCTTTGTAAAATATAATCTTTTATACTCAGAAAGCAAACTAAGCTAATGATCAAAAAACATCCTCTTAAAATTCCAGTAGAAAAGAACAATCTGTTGCATACTTCCACTGACCAAAACCCACTAACAACCAGACTCTCCAGCTTAGAAATGTGTCTCACATGAGAGCAGCTCAAAGATGTAAGCAAAATTGACCACCAGGCATTTCTCATTTATGTGCCCCGAGCCTTAAACTTTTAGTATTCTACAAGCATGAAGAAAGTCATCTTGCCCTAGGATCTCTCTTAATTACCAGGTCATTTGACCTCATCAGAGTGCTATGTTATCCAGAAGCATCGGGTTCAACTGTTCTGCTGCCTCAGACTTCTTATATATTTTATAACTCCTCATGGACTAAACTGATGTTTGTTAAGAAAACAAAAATTTTTGTCTAGGTATTTCATAGTACGTCCTCCTTGAGACTACCTTCTTTTGAATTTTTCCCAACAGCTAATTCACTAGTCTCGCTTATTTCTTGTCAAAGGGGAGACAGATTTGTGCCTCTGTCGCAGCATCAAGCAGATCCTGCCATATTGTCCCTTAGGAGCCACGACCTTACTCTGTCCCTTCTTGGGGAACTTGCGGGTTCTCTGTGGGCTACTGCAGTCATATTACTGTGGTCAGTCCTGAACCTCTCACATCTGAGAACTGAGTCGTTAAAAGCAGAGTGTGATTCTTTTAGGATCCAAAGGTTAAGGGATGCTGAGTAGCATCCTTAGGGAACAACTGGAATTGATCCACTGCCTTCTTGTCATGAGTTACAACTAGAGCATGTCACCTTGCTCAGTGGGTTAGTCACCACATCAAATACTGTAGTCACTTTCCAAACTGTGGAAATACACATTTTCATATTTTGTCTGTGATATGTCTTTGTATAAAATTGCATAATGCTGGTTCCCTGGTACATGGGACTCTGAGACTCAATCTCCTGCATGAACTAGTATGGAAATCCTGTAGGGGATTAGGACACATCTTTTGCATTCACTGTTTTAAATACACTTAGGGAGAAGTAGGGACCAAATATCTCTTTTATCCACAAGAAAGTTTATGTGCACAAATCTGTGGAGGAGTTTATGTCTTTTGATGCTTTATGTACAAATAAAACTAAAATCTTGGGCCAAAAATTTTAAAAGCATTACTACTGGAATGAATTAAGACTGCTTTTGATGTTGCATTCTGGATTCTGAGTGAATTCATACAACTCTTTTTCATCATGTTGTTATCATCTACGTAGGTGGCGATGATTTATTAAATGTCTCCTGTGATCTGTGTTGGAAAATCATAAACTAGCCATCGTCTGAAAATTCAAAACACTGGTTAGAAATGGCATAGTTTAGTTTTTGAGAGTGTACCTGTTTGAAAATTTAAAACACTCCATGTACTGGCCAAAAAAGAATAAATTTAGGTGAGAAGGGGCAATAGAAACATCTTCTGCCCCTGCCCTTACCCCTCACACCACATACACTCCTGTTTCAGTTATGGTTTGCTGTTTTGTTTCTAGAATATAATTTTGATCACGCATTATTTAATAAAATTACACCTCAGCAGCTTCATGGAATAATCTGACCTCTAGAACTTACTTAAATGCCTTTGGTTTAGTGTGGCCAAATCAGGAAGAAAAGAGCAAAACAGGAAGGCCTTCCTTTGAAACCGCATATCCTAGCAACGTATAAAAAGTTTCTTCTCTCTGTGTTCGCTGACTTGTCTTATTTTTCTTTTTCCCTTCAGTTAGATCTGAAAGCATTTAAGAAAAAAGGCTCCTCCATTCCAACCACAATAATAGCATTTGCTGAAAACTAATATTTCATGGCAGAGAAATATTTCAAGCAAACCTGTCAATACAAGGAGAAAAACATATATAGTCAGGAGCTATTAAAACACAATTAGATTTCCCTGGCCTCTGATAATTTCTCTACAGTTATGTTTACCATGACACTCCTGGAATTGCTCCTTTCTCTTTTTGTAGTGGAGCATGAAAATGCTCTGCTTCAGGAAACCTGCAGTTGTCATGTAGCATTAAATAAAATCCATGATCGTATTTTTTAAACAAAAATGACTTTAAACACATGAATGACTATTCAAGTGACTGCTTATGTGAGTTGTTATGAATAAGAACTTCAGAACAAGCAAATGTTAAAACATATTTGTGCTTAAACAATGTTTTGGCATGCTTCACAAAACTAGGTATGACTATGATTCTTTTACTAGTAGCCAAATGTCTTTTTTACATTGACCTTGAAGTTGACCGTTGACGTTGTCAAGGAAAAAACAAAATATATATTGAACAGTTTACTTTCCTTAAATGACCTGATTGACCTTTGTATCCAACGAACACTGAACTATTCAACCATAGAGAATGTATGTAGGGACTGGCTTCCCTGTTAGCTGGTTTTTAGCCACTGTTTTAAGTGGAAAGGAGAAAAACAGACATGACAGTACATCTGAGGCAAGAGATAAATTTTATAGGACTATAATGTCAGTGATGTTTTCCAAATGCTAAAACATAAATAGCCTTTGAAATGCAGGAACACATTTAAGCATTTGGATTTTATTACCCTTTCTTCCTACTCTTTTCCCTTTCTCTGACACGTTCACTTGTTCTTTCCTCTGATGCATCCTGCTCTCATTCTCCCTCTCAATCTCTCTCTCCCTCCCTCCCCTTCCTCCCATCCCCCTCCCTCTGCCATCTCCCGCCTTCCCTCCCTCTCTTCCTCGCTTTCTTTATTTTCTTCCCTCATCCTTTTTATCTCTTTTTTTCCCCTTCTCTTCACTCTCCTTCTTTCTCTTATTCATGTGTAAGATGTTTTAAAGCTCTAGAAATAAAATTGAAAGTAACTAGTACCCAAATATGGTCCCATTAGAGATTGGCTATTTAGATAAAGAAGGAAATAGCAGATTCCCTCCCAATGCATTTGTGCAACTGAAACAGGTTTTTCTTGTCACTACCATGTTGCATCTGTCTAATGTGTTTTACACTCCCTTCTCTGTCTAGACAGAAGTCAGCTTGTATCACAAATCTTTTCAGACTGTTCTGTGAATTAATAGCTAGTCAGCTTACTTAAGACCAACATCCGTTTGTCATATTACCTGCTCTGGCCTCCTTCTTTGACATTCCGACTTTACACTGATGGAATCCTTCAAAGACTAGTCTGAGGCGGGTGGGGGGCACAGAAGACTCATTTGACAGCTGTTAATACTCAGGCCCTTACTCAGCTGTCTGGAAACAGCCACAAACTGTATTGAGTTACTTCTATAGCATTGTTTAATGGCACACAAAATTAAAAATACAAAAAAAGTGTCTTACTGGTTGGGGAATTATACCTATAAAAGTATGGTGCCTCCTACTTTCAGTGTGAATCTCTGCTAACCAGTGCTGACCTGTCACCCTAGATCTTAGACAGTAGAGCCTATGTTTTGATCTGTGATTCAGAATGTGAAGTAAATTATATTTTGTTAAATGCAATCAGGTACTGAGTTGTAGGAAGGCAATGTTGAGGATGTTTGTTGAGACCCAATAGATTGTACATAGTTAAAAACTTATTGCAAATCCAGGTTAAGACGGTGGCTTAAACAAAAGTGGGTTGTAGAAAACCTGTGATTCCCAAACTGTCTGACAAGTTGCCCTGGGACACCACACCAAACTGACAGAGGTGCTGTAATATGTTTGAAATTTTTAATGCAAACATAATGATACTTGACATCTGATAGATACAACTACTAGGCTGAAATAATTCTGGGTTTAAACATTAGATAACTCTGTATTCTTTTGTATGACATCATATCTTGGTGAAACTGAGTTTTTGACGTGTGTGATAAAAAGCAAGTACCATATGAAAATTGATGTGGAACCTGAAATGAGGCTGGCTCTGTCCAGTCTGATTCCAAGAAGAGTTGTGCAGTACCCAACAGATGCACACATCCATTAGTAAGTAACTGTGGTTATTTAAGAATTAAATAATATTTTTATTTTACTTTATGTGTATTTTTTTCAAACAATAACTAACATGTTAAGACCTAAATACTTATTAAGTTCTTTGGAAATAACTACTTAACGAATGAAGCTGTTTGGTATATCTTTTGACTTAGGAGCACCATAAAAACAATTACTGAGACACTCAGGGTCCCATGAACCAAGAAAGCTTGGTTTACTCTCTGGGGAGAGAGGGGAGCACTCAAGGCACCTTTGAGTGTGCACCACAAAGAAAAGGGAGTGACTCTGAATTCTGAATGCTAAATGCTCCCACTCCCAGTCTTCTCTGGCACTCACCTTCTAGAATGCTGGCCTGTGAACTTTTCCTGTCCTGGCAAAGACTGAAGGACTCCTCTCTGGGCAATCTGAATGTCCCAAGAGAAAAACATCCATAGATAATGATATGGGAGTTTCTTCACAAAGAAGCCGACTAGTTTCAGCTAACGGGAAGGCCGGAGTTGACGAGCTCCTCTCTCCTGGTCAGAGCTTCTAATCAACTCACAACCATGTCAGACAAGAAGAGATAAAAGGCGTCTGAGGAAACCTTGAGCGTGGATGACGTAGAAAAAAACAAGCAAACTCCCCTGAAAAGCAACTTGGAGAAAACAGACTTGCAAAGAGAATAAAATGTAAAAACAAGACAACACTCTCCTCAGAGAGAGAAGGAAATCAGTGCATCCGAGAAGGAAAAATAAAAAGCTACTAAGAAGAGGGGAGGAACATTTGGAAAATAAAAAGTTCTCGGAATGAAAAA